AAATGGATTCCACTGCAGGGATTGTTTTATGTTTGTTTTACTTTGGGAGAAGTTTCTACTTACCCTCCACTTGGCTAATTCCTGTCTTTAAAACTTTCAGGAAATTAAAGGAAAGTAACATTTATCCACCTAAACTGCAAACTGCTTCCTATCTCTTGCATTATTGGTTAAACCTTACAACAAACCGTTGTGTGAAGTGCTTTGATTATCCTTCTGTGGTGTTGTAGGAGAAAGCACTGGGCCTTAAGTTCAGTTTGAACCTCAGGGTTGGCGATTCAAACCCACCAGCCTCTCCTTGGAAACCGGATGCAGGGTCACTATGAGTCAGAACCGCAACAACATTACAAAGGAAGAGGGCAATGGCTATTCAGTGGCAAAATTCTCACCTTCCATGTGGGAGGCCTGGGTTTGATTCCTAGCCAGTTCACGTCAAGTGCTTATCTGTCAATAAAGACTTGAGTGTTGCATGATGCTGAGCAGGTTTAAACACAGTGTCCACACTAAGACAAACTAGGAAGACCTGGCAGTCTGCTTTTGAAAATCAGCCAATGAAAACCTTGATCACAGTAGTCCAGTCTTATTGTGTATTGTATCCCCATAGTCAGGGACTCACTCAGTGACAACTTACAATTATAGAAGGAAAAAGCTGAGACTCAGACAGCTTAAGTCATTTGCCTGAGGCAACATAGCTTATATGTGTTGGCTCAAACTCTGTGTGACTGTGAAGCTTGTGCTAGGACCATGACCCCATGGAGACACCTCTTTTGATATACTAGAGAAAGCAACCATCCTGCTATTTTCTTAATGACTTAATTGGAGTCCTGGTGTGGTGCTGTAGGATCAGCACTGGACAGTGAATCACAAGGTCGACAGTTCAAGCCCACCAGCCGCGCCTCAGAAACCCTGTACATGGTCTTTATGAGTCAGAACCAATAGGATGGCACTTAACAACAATAATAACATGATCATAAATAGATTAAAAGTATGATATCTACAGGGATAAGGAAAAAAGTATTGCTATAAAATCATAGAAACCTTAATTAAAAATATAAAAACATAAAGCTATTGCTTCTCAACATACTCTCCATCTAGGTCTGTACATTTCTGAAGGTGGTATTTCCATTTCTCTAACCCTTCTCTAGGAGTCCTGGTTTGGCGCTGTGAGCTAATGTGCCAGACTGCAATGTCGTTTTAACTGCAAGGTCGGTGGTTCAAGCTTACCAGCTGCTCCTTAGAAACCCTTTATAGAGTCACTATGGGTCAGAATCGACTTGGCGGCACTTAACAACAACAACAACAACCCTTCCCTAAAGAATTTAACACTCTTTGATTTATAACTCATCAAAACACCAGTTTTGGTATTCTTGAGGGAGTCAAATTGTGGGGTTTTTTCAATGTTCTTTGAGCTTTGGAAACAAAAAGAAGTCTGAAAGGGCAAGATCAAGACTGTAGAGTGAATGGTTTCCCAATGAAATTCTTGCAAGACCACCCTTGCAGGTGCATTATTGTGATAGAAAATATTACTTACTACATTTTTCCTGGCCTTTTTCTAACCAGTGTAGTTTTCCATTTTCTTAAAGCTTCTTAATAAGCCCCCATGATCGTCCTATGTCCTTTGAGAAAAACTACCTAAATGACACCTTTTTAGAATAAAAACAAAACATATAACTTTCAGAGCTGACTTTGAATGTAATGGTCCCAGCAGAACACCTTGGAAGTTACAGTTTTGATTGGACCCTTTCTCTGAAGGCACCCTAACAAGAAAGACTAAGACAGATGTATTACTGAGAGAACTTGTCTGTAGCCACCCACTGATTGCAGAGGTGCGTGGTTTGTTTGGAATAAATTCTTGCTTGGATGAACTGGAACCTCAGTAGCAATTCCTTTTGATTTAGTCTCATGTTTACACACATTCAACTCTAAATTCTGAAAGATCTTACTTCTGGCCTTCCTGTGGGTGGGGCATGGAACGACACCATGATGTGAAGCTGGTGCCCAGGAAGCTTTTAGGGTGTCTCAGATTACCAAGTCTGCACTGAAGCTCCTGAGGCTTCCCCCATCTGGCCTCTCAGTTGCCATTTCTCAGACCTGACAATCTTTGCCTGCTGGCCCCCTGCCAATAGCTGCCCATCTCTGCTTGATAAGAACTCCCCTTCCCTGTACTGCACACCAGGTATTTAACTGATAAGGCCCTTCCTCTGTTGGGCCTGTGGAATGGTCTGTGTAACAGATGCCCCAGCAGGTGCTAAACATTCCTTTCTGCCCCTGTGTTGTGACTTCCTCTTACACCTTCACCATATAGTTTACTGAGGAGATTAATATTTAATCATTGGAGAAATATAGAAGGTGATGTCTAGATCTGTATCTGAGTGTCATGTTTATTTGAGTGGTTTTTTGTTTCTCACAAAGTGATAAATATCAAACGAAAAGCAATAGAATGGAAAATATGATGAAATACCATAGATAAAATTGCAACCGCAGTATATCCTTCAAAAGTGATGTAAATTCATACTCCACTTGATAAGCAATCAAACTGGAAGAACAAGTCATTCCCATGAAGGAAACCAGGAAATTGCCACAAGGAAGCAAGCATACAGTTTGCTAGCTGACAATGCAGTGTCCTTGAGACGAATCCTTGAGACTGTACTCTCTTGGACCATCTCAGTCAGTGAGCATAATATGACTCATAGAGTTATGTTCCACAGCTTCATTGGGTGAGTAGTTTCTGGGGTCTTAGAAACTTGTGAGCAGCCACCTAAAACAGATCTATTGGTCTCTACCTAAATGAAATAACAGCTGTTATTGTTAAGTGCTGTTGAGTTGGTTCTACCACACAGTGACCTTATTTATACAGCGTTTCCAAGGAGCAGCTGGTGGGTGTGAACTGCTGACCTTGTGGTTTGCAGTCCAGTGCTGGTTCTACAGTGCCATACCAGGAGTCCCTCAAGTAAAAAAGAAAAGAGGAAAATCTAAGACTCCAAAAAGAAAACGAATATACAAGACTATAGTCTACACAAACCACAGCTTCAACTGCCCTGAGACCAGAAGCACTACATGCCCAGCTGCCTCCACTACCAGTATTCTAATCAGAGTCACAATAGATGGACACTGGTAAATGTGGAAAAAATTCCTTTTTTAAAAAAAAAGGAAAAAACGCCAACAACAAAAAAACAAATCTATGGGACTGGCTGAATCTGGAGGACTCCCTGAGACTATTGTCCTGAGAAATTGTTCAAACCATGAACTGAAACTAACCCCAGAGGTCAGCTTGTAGCTAAACAGCAAATAATCTAAAATATAATATCACCCATAAGTACAGTGTTCAGTTCTGTTGTACATAGGATCACTCTGTATCGGTACCAACTTGGTGGCACCTAACAACCACAACAACATATGCAACCAAATAGTCAACAAATGCTTTAAAATAGAGATGAGACATAAAGGCACAGGGAAATTAGATTAATGGAAAAAGAACAACCAGAATAGAAATAGGAGTGTTCACACATTGTAAAGAATGTAACCAATGTCACTGAACAACTTGTGTAGAAATTTTGGGGTAGGAACCTAAACTACTGTGCAAAGCTTCACTGGAAACACCAAGTATTATTTAAAAATAAAATCATTGTTGTAAAGTGTCATTGAGTCTGTTCTAGCCCTTAGCGACCCAGAATAGGGTTTCCGAGGAGTGGCTGGTGAGTGTGAATCACCAACCTTGCAGTTCAAACTGACCTTGCACATTAGCCCGCAGCACCACACCAGGACTTCAAAAATAAATAACCTTGATAAATTGGTGGGAGCACTTGTCCACAAAATCAGCAGATTTTCTGGGAGATATCTTGAGGAGCCAGTTGTTGTTAAGTGCCGTTGAGTCGGTTCTGACTCATAACGACCCTATATAGAGTTTCTGAGGAATGGCTGGTGAGCTTGAACCGTTAACCTTGCAGTTCAAACCATCCTTGAAGTCTAGCGCATTAACCTACAGCGCCACATCAGGATTCCTAGGAGCCAGTTGTTGTTGGTAGTTGTGTGCTGTGGAGTCAGTACCAACCCATAGCAACCCTGTCTAGGGTTTCCAAGACTATAAATCTTTACAGGAGCAGAAAGACTCATGTTTCTCCCATGGAACAGCTGGTAGTTTCAAACTGCGTGACTCGTCATTAGGGAATCTTAATATGCATCCATTTCTGAGCTCCTACTATGTGCCTGCCAGGTGCTCACTCACATACACTGTTTCATTCAATATTCCTGAAAAGTACCAGCACCAGTTGCCATCAAGTCGACTGTGACCCATGGTGATTTTCCATATGTGTCAGAGGAAACTGCTCCATAGGGTTTTCAGTGACTTGATTTTTCTGAAGTAGATCACCAGGTCTTTCGTCTGAAGCACCTCTGGGTGCATTTAGCAGCCAAGTGCATTCACCACTTGCAGCTGCCCAGGACTCTTTCTTGAAAGGTAGGCAGGTGTTATCCCCAGTTGGCAACTGGAGAAATGATGTGACAGGGATTTGTTGCCTCAGCCAATTGCTTAACTTCTCTAAGCCTTCATTTTCCTATCTGCTGAATCCACTCATGAAGACACTTGACTATATGTCAATGAAGTCCACTCTTCCTTCCCTACCCCTGCCCAGGTAGAGGAAGTGGGATTAAGAGATGTTTCATTGTGGGGATTGCAGCCAGTGAGATGAAACAGAATGTGTATGAATTGTTGAATGGAAAATGAATCTGTTCTATAAGCCTTCATCCAGTTTATAATAAAAAGTAAATAAAACAAAACCACAGCCTACTCAGAGGCATTTCGGGAGTAAGGCCTGGCTCTTTGCTTCTGGAAGGTCACAGCCATGAAAGCCCCATGAAGCACAGTTCTAGTTTGTATCACATGGGTCTCCCTTAATCAGAACTGAGTGCTTTTCAATTTCATCCCTTTCTTTAACTTTCGCCATTGCTCTTGGCTGGAAAAAGATTTTACTAGCCTGTGCAGCTTCTCCCTGTGCTTATTCTAGGAAGACCAGCCCATCTACATGGCGGTGAAGGGCGTAGTGTTTGATGTCACTTCTGGAAAGGGTAAGTAGCTTAGCTTGGCTTTTGAATCTCTGTTTCTGGGGTACTGAAGAACCAAAGTGGAAACTGGAGGTGTGAGAAAAGGGAAGGCATTGGGCAAGTACTTTTTCTTCCATCTTAAGTAATCAAGTGGAGTCCACAATCTTGTCAGTATTTCAGTTCAGCCTTTCTCAGTCCAGGTGTGACATTGTAGGATAAGCACTCCACCAAAAGGTTGATGGTTCAAGCTCACCAGCTGCTCCTTGGAAACCCTATGCAGGGTTGCTGTGGGTCAGAACTGACTCCACAGCACACAACAACAGTGCCGTGCTGTTTACAAAAGCCTTCTGTGTCTGTCCATTGTCTGTAGAGTCAACATCAAACTTGATCATTTACCCTAGTTGAAGCAGTGAGAAAAACCTTGTTGCTCCTTTATGTAGAAGCCCTGATAGTACAAATGATTAAGTGCTCGACTGCTAACCAAAAGGTTAGTAGTTTAAATCCACCGAGCAGACTGGACAACCTGCCCCCATAAGCTGTCGTCTAGAAAACTATATGGGACTGTTCCACTCTATCTCATGTTCCCTGAATCGCAATGGGCTGGACAACACTTAAAACAACAACTCCTTTAGACTGTCAGGATGCTTTTGAAGAAAAAGGTTGAGCTTTAGACTATTTCTGTCTTTTCTTTATTACCAAATTTAAACGGTTGCAAAATTAGGTATTTTCAAGTATTTCAACTATACTCTCAGGAGTCCTGGTGTGGTACTGTGGGTTAGTGCACTGGACTGCAAAGTCATTTCAACCATCAGGTCAGCAGTTCAAGCTCACCAGCCACTCCTTTGGAAACCCTATACTGGGTCATTATAGGTTGGAACAGACTCAATGGCACTTAACAACATACTCTTAGGTGACATGACAAAATAGAAACCAAGTGTGGAGTCCACCTCAAAACAAGTGTTCATAAAGAATCAACATCATAGAGCATCATAGATTATTTTAATCATTTGATGGTTTTCCTAATTGTAACTAGAGTCCTGGTGTGGTGCTGTAGGATAAGCACTGGACCGGTAATGGCCAGGCCGATGGTTCAAACTCACCTGCCACTCTTCAGAAACTTTACAGGGTGGTCATGAGTCAGAATTGACTCGATGGCATTTAACACATCAACAGTTGTCAGTACAAATGATATTACGGTGGTAGTTGTTATAATGTTGTTACGTGCCATCAACTAGGTCCAACTCTTAGAGACCCTGTTTATGGTTTCTGAGGCTTTAAATCATTGCAGGAGCAGAAAGCCTCATCTCTCTTCTGCGGAGCGGCTGGCAGGCTCGAACCATGGGCCTTGTGGTTCACAGTCCAGTGCTTATTGTATGGAACCACCTCCCTCTCCAGTTCATGTAATGGTTCATTTTTTATTTGATACTAAACACTAGGGGATGGAAATAGACTTGACTTCCACCAAAATGTAAGAATACCAAGCATTTTTTGTGTTAACATTCTTAATGTTGTTGTTATTGTTAAGTACTGTAGAGTCGGTTCCGACACATAGTGACCCTGTACAGGGTTTCCGAGGCTATAAATCTACGGGAGTAGAACGCCTCGTCTTTCTCTATGGTAGTTTCAAACTGTTGACCTTGAGGTTAGCAGCCCAACTCATAACCACTACGCTACCAGAGCTCCTTAACATTCTTAATAGTTTAAATTAAAAAAAAATTTTTTTGTTGTTGTTGTTATTGTTGTTGAGAATATACAGAGCAAAACATACACTAGTTCAGCTGTTCCGAATGCAGGCCCGTACTCACTTTCTCTCCCTTCCTCCCTGCAGAGTTTTATGGGAGAGGAGCCCCCTACAATGCCTTGACCGGGAAAGACTCCACCAGAGGTGTGGCCAAGATGTCCCTGGATCCTGCAGACCTCACCCATGACACCGTGAGCCAGATTACAGGCCATTGTCTTTATGTCCCACTGTCTTGGATGTGGACCTCAGGGCAATAGTGAAGCTTCACAACTGGCTAGTTTTCACTCAGGGTGGGAGTGGGGGGTGGACAGCCATTTTCTCAAGACAGATATCTTACCATACCACTCTTACTCAAAAACCTTCCATGGCTCTCCACTGCTTATAGAGTCAAGTCCAATCACTTGTGAACCTGTGAGCTCACTCAGTAACCTTCACAGTGTGATCCCAACCTCATCTCCCCTGAAGCCCCGCGCACAGAAGCAGATGATGACGTCCCCGCCTCCTGCCCTAACCTCTTGCTACAGTGCAGTAGATGAATTAGATTGGTCTCCCTCTATATACATGCTTCTCTGAAGGGAAAACAACAAATCAAATACAGTCATTTCCGGACTTAAATAATGCCAACAGCAAGACTGACCTGCCTGTGCTTTGGGTGTACTCAGTACCACTAGGCAGAGCTGATGAAAATCTTAAGTCACAACATTATAGAATGGAATTAAGGAGGAAAAAGATGGCTATGTGTGTAAGGGGAAGTGTGCAGAGAGCAGGTAGGCTTAGCCCGGCAGGAAGGGGGTGGGGCACAGACTGCACCCCATGGATGTTCTCTGAGTTTGCAAGACCTAAATGAGTTAAACGGCAACCAGTGTTGAAGTCATTGCTGCCCCTCTTCAGCAATCAGTGGTCTGCAGTTAGCTTTGTTGAGATAACTGTCTTGCTCTTGAATTCAGACTGTGGGTGGGCAAGGTGGGGATGGAGAGAGGCCAGTGCCAAACCCCAGTCACTCACCCCCTCCCGGCCCCACTATTTCGTGGGGCTTTTCTCCCCTAGACGGGGTTGACAGCCAATGAGCTAGAATCCCTGGATGATGTCTTCACCAGAGTATACAAGGCCAAATACCCCATCATCGGCTACACAGCCCGCAGGATCCTTAACGAGGATGGCAGCCCCAACCTGGATTTCAAGCCCGAGGATCAGCCCCATTTTGACATCAAGGATGAGTTCTGATGGCCATCTACAGGGTCAGGGTTTCAGGAGGGATGAGCAGGGGGGCAACTCGGTGTAGATCTGAAAAATCTGCTCCCTGAAGCTTCCGGATCACCCAGCTCTGAATAAAACTGATATTTAACCTGAAGCTGTGACTTTCTTGTCATTATAGGCAGGTTATAGGTAACTTGGCCGCACACCAGTCAGGTTGGTGATAATAACTTCTCCTGGATCCCAAAGGAGCTCTGGTAATGTAATGGTTATGATAATAACTTCTCTTGGATCCCAAAGGAGCTCTGGTAACATAATGGTTATGAGTCAGGCTGTTTAATCTAAAGGTCAGCAGTTTGAAACTACCCGCCGTTCCTGGGAGAAGATGAGGTTTTTTGCTCTGGTAAAGATTTACAGCCTTGGAAACCCTATGCAGCGTTGCTATGACTTAGAACCACTTCCATGGCACATAACTACCACCACCACCACCTGGATTGCATATGTCAACATGCTTACCTGCATGTTTTCATGATGAGTGGCCTTTTTTTAAACTTTTTATTGAGTGCCAGTTTACAGACAAGATTACTAGCTTTACATTCAACAAATCATATACTTTGTTTCATCTCACTGATTCAATCCCCTCCCTGCAACAACAGTTATCCTGCTTCCTCCCAGAGGTTCCTATTTGCATTCCACCCACCTTCCCATCCCTTCTCTACTTTGTCGTTAGGAATATGTTGCCCTTTTGATTTTGAATGATTGACCATTCCATGGTGAGCAGACCTTACTAGTATTATTGCACCCCCTCCCCCCTACACTTGGTGTGGAGCTGTAGGATCAGTACTGGACTGCAAACCATAAGTTCAGTGGTTCAAACCCACCAGCTGATCCTTGGAAACCCTGTACAGGGTCGCTATGAGTTAGAATTGACTCGACGGCACTTAACAACTACATAAACCTATCTAGAAGTTCTGATGTAACGCTGTAGGATCAGCACTGGACCGCAAGTTTGGTTTGAACCGCCAGGTAGGTTCCAGCTGCTCTTTGGAAACCCTATACAGGGTCACTATGAGTTGGAACCAACTCAACACAACAAAAATGACAAATAAGCCTATCTATTTCTTGGCTGAAAATGAGGCCACGAGGGTGAATTTCTTTCTAGGCCTGAAAGGTGGTCAAGGGTCACAGACACGGGTTCCTCCAGTCTCTTTCTGACCAGTAAACCCTGCCTTTATTATTATTAATGAATAATGTTGAATTTTGTTCCACATTTCCTCTCACTCTATCCAGAACCCTCTAATGTGATCCCCTTCAGGGCAGTTGGTAGTGGTAGCTGGGCGCCATCTAGTTCTTCTAATTGACCTTTTTTTTTCCTTAAAAAAAACAAAAACCTTTTCCTTATGAATTGGGTAAAGGCTTCCTGGTGAGTGACTTTCATTTCTTTGTACTTTTCTGTATTTTCCAGATTTCCTACTGTGGCTGTGTTTATAATAAGACCAAAAATAGGCTTTCAAAATGATCTATTTATGCATCCCCGCACTTTCCGGGTTTTGTACAATGAGCCAGTGTGAGTTCTGTAATTAGAAGCGAACGTATCACTGCTACAGCACGGCTCCGCATTTGTGTTTTTCCTCTGTGAGTTGCCCCCACCTCCTCTGTGGGGCTGGCCTGGTCTGCACTGACCACCCCCTCCCTCCCCACTGTAGGCTAGGCCAACCCTTCGGCAGTGAAGTGCCTCTACAGTGGAGTTTTTACCTCCTTCCTCCTCTGGGGGGACATCTCAGCTGAAGGCCAGGCTCGAGCCCACCTGGTAAGGTGTTTGCTTTCTGCACCTTCAACTAGCAGTAGCACTTCGTGGGCCACATGGGTTGGCACCATCCTCCTTTCCTTACCTTCCTCTGTTTGCATGGAAGGCAAGTGCAGATCCTGATGGGGCCGTAGGCACAGCCTCAGAGAGATCTGTGTGTGTCTGATGTGTGCGTGTGTGTGTCGGGGGCTGGACCAGTTTCCACAAGGCCAACCCACAGCTGGTGCACAGTTGACCCCTCAATTAATACACACCCCATATCTGTGCCAGGTGCCACAGTAGGTGCTGGGGTTCAGACAGTTACAATACCATGGGGTTGAGGGCAGCTTTAGCGTGTGCATAGGACATCAAGAAAGGGCTGAGCCTGAGCGCCCAGCACAGACACTGGTCTGGGGTGACCAGCCATCCTGATTTTTCTTGAACTTTCCCAGTTTAAGCACTAAAAGCTCTGTATCCCAGGAAAACACTCAAACCTGAAGGATTGAACTGCACTAGAAGTCTCCTCCAGTGGAGGGACACAGGACACCCAACCTGGGTGCCACCTTGGGATGAAGGAGGAAGAAAGGATCTGAGAAGGAGGAAAGAGGCAGAAGGAAGGGTGATGGGAGCACATAGGGGGGTGGGTTTTTAATCAGTCACCATACAAGTTCAAGTTCAGCATCTCATGTGGAAACTCAATGTCTGGCCTACAGCCACTCAGTGTGTTGGCGTCATTTGTGAAGTTCCTCCCCAAATCTAAATTCTTCAGCTCAGGTGCAGCCAGTCCTTCCCATACTATCTCTGGGGAAACATCTCTAGCTTCATGTTTCTGAACCCCAGGATGCTGATCAGTAACCCCCATCTCAGTATCCCCATCCCTAACCCTTTGAGAAGGCATGTTACCATGGCCCCTTTGCCATAATAGGGAAGAAGAAGCCTTTAGGAAGGAAACCTACTCTACTGGGAACATTCAAAAGTCTTTAAAATAGATCACTGACTGGTGAATGTCCCTGAGTGGGGCAGGAAGCTGTGGACAATGGGGTTGACAGCCCTGCAGAACAGGGCAGTGGAGCCTGACTAGAGAGCTCATGTCCCAATGTTTCAGGATTTTCATCGGTTCATTTTTCATTACTAGATCACCGGGTCTTTGTTCCAAAACCCCTCTGGCTGAACTCCAACCTCCAACCTTTTGGTTACCAGCCAAGTGTGTAAACTAAACCACCCAGAGATATCAACCTCTGTCTACACTGGCTTCCTTCCAAAAGCTGTTTTCAGCCCCAAGTTCTAACAAGTGTGGTGCTCGGGCATTGCCAGTCCCCTGAGATGCTTCCGCAGAGGCTGAAGCTGGAACCAGACCAGAGTACAGTCCCTATGGGTATCTGAGTGTCCAGATCCACCCTCCAAAATGACCTCCTCACCAGCTGAGAAGTTCCTCCTGTAGCCTCCGTCCTGGCAATCCCAGGTAGTCAACGGCCTGGAGAGCTGTGTGTCACCACGTTGTGTTGATCATCTCTTAGACTCCATTTCTCAGCCCTTCAGGCCAGCGCACATGTGATCTCTCAGTGCCTGCCTTAGACGAAGTTCTCTAGAGAACCAGAACCAGTGATAATACTCACATATAGCGGTGACCCAATGGAATCTGAAAATCATCAAACAGGATCATTGATATCACATGCAAGTAAAACTTTGCTGAAGATAATTAAAAACAGTTGCAGCAACATATCAACAGAGCTGCCAGAAATTCAAGCTGGATTCAGAAGAGGATGTGGAATGAGGGATAGCATTGCTGATGTCAGATGGATCTTGGCTAAAGGCAGAGAACACTAGAAAGCTGTTTACTTGCACTTTATTGACGATGCAAAGTCTTTTGACTGTATGGATCCTGACAAGCTATGGATAACATTGCAAAGAACGGGTATTTCAGAACACTTGATGGTGCTCATGAAGAACCTGTACCTAGACTAAGAGGCAGTCTTTCAAATGAAACAAGGGGACATTATTTTATCCTTTCACTATACTTGTTCAATCTGTATGCTGAGCAAATAATCCAGCTAACTGGATTATAAAATGAACAATGAGACATTAGGATTGGAGGAGGACTCATTAACATCTGGCAATATGCAGATGACACAACCTTGTTTGCTGGAAGCAAAGAGAACTTAAAATAGTGATGAAGATCAAAGACGGCAGCCTTCAGTATGGATTACACCTCAAAGTAAAGAAAACAAAGATCCTCACAACTGGACCAATAAATAACATGAAAAACAGAGAAAGATAGAAGTTGTCAAAGACTTCATTCTGTTTGGGTCTACAATCAACAATCAAGGAAATAGCAATCAAGAAATCAAATGATTTAATGCATCAGGTAAATATGCTGCATAAGAACTCTTTAAAGTGTCAAAAGAGTAAAGATGTCACTTTGAGGACTAAGGTGCACCTGACTCAACCCATGGTATTTTCTTTTTTAAAATGTTGTATTGTGAATTATGTGATAGTTTACATGGGAGAACATTAGCTTTGTATTCATCCGATTGTATATAATTTCATTGCCATGGTTACAGTCCCTCCATGCATCATCAACCAACAATAGCATATACCCTGCAAGCCTGCCTCCCTCCCCCTGCCCCCCCTCCCCCAGTCATCAGCACACAGCCCCTCTCCCTCTCTGAGTCTAAAGTCCTCAGCTGCTCCATCTCTCCATGTCATCGCCTCTGCCTCCATCTCTGGTGTCACTGCTTCTCTGGGTGGGGTGCCGCTCTCTGCTCTTCTCCCTTGATGGTCCCAGGGACCTCCACTCCTAGACTGCAAAGTTAATCACTCCCCTCCTCGCTACAAAAAGTCTACCTTTACATTTCCAACCCTCACAATCAGCCCTGATAACAATTATTCACTATTGTATCACAAGAGACCTATCTGTATTTTCTTTCATTAGCCCCGCCTAGACAGATTGGATACTACTCAGTGTAGATTCTATCTTCCTCCATGTCCTCTGGATCTAGGTTCCCTCTTGAAAGCTTGTAAGCCAGTCACTTCTTGCCTTTGAAGGCCCCCCACCCCCATTTTGTGTAGCCAATGTCCAAGTTGCCCATCCCTGTCTACTCTGTGTACGAAGGGGGTGGGAATGATCCTTACTGTAAAGATTTGTTCCCTCTTTTGAGCTACTGCATCCATAGGTGTAGGTCAAGTTCATCAAATTGCATCAGATTACTCTTTCTTCTTCTTCTTCTTTTTTCTTCTTCTAGTT